TGAAAGAACATCCTTGAATTCAAGATGCAGACTCTCCTTAACTGGAGAAAAATAAATAAATCAGGTAAAAATCTGTGCATTGTGTTCCCAGCTTTACATTTTTGGATTTCCATGCTCATATTTGGTTTCAGAAATCCAGATTTAAATCTGAAAAACAGCTTAAGACTCATGAAAAATCCTCCTCCTGTTGTAAAACTGGATGAACAGCCTGGACTGACCGACTGTCCTCTGCTGTGGAAAGTCGACTGGTTTCCAGCTTGTTTGGCTGCTTTTTCCTGGTCTGATGCTTGTAAATAAACCCAGTAAAGCCGAGTCGGGTCGCTGTGGGTCACAGGGTTTCCTGCTGGTTTGTGTAACGAGCGTTCACACACATCCATCACCGCTGCGGCTCACATCACGGCTAACGCTAGCAATCTGAGGCTAACACGCGCTCACAACACCAGGTCAATTGGCCTGACCCGGCTAATTACAGAGCAGCTACCTGACACACACACACACACACACACACACACACACACACACACACACACACACACACACACGTTGAACCAGGTGGTGTTGCACGGCGGTGTGCAGGGAGCAAACGCAGGTCCATTAAGCAGAGTGTTGGTCCAAATGAAGACCAATGACCAGGAAGCTTCAGACAGGAAACAAAACGAGGTGAAACACCGAGCAGCAGCCAAAAAACAAGATGGCTGCCGGAAGGAAAAACACTCTGAGGAGCAAGAGGGAGGATAGTAGAGACAACGAAGGAGGAAGGTACAAAAATCCAACATTAATCCATCCAACTGAACATCCAACTGAACATCCAACTGAACATCCAACTGAACATCCAACTGAACATCCAACTGAACATCCATCCATCCATAAAGGCTGAATTTATTCTCAGCCAGCTGTCAGGAGCCTGACGGCATCAGCCACCAATTCCAACATGTTTAAGTAACTAATGAATAATAATTCATTCACCTGGTAGCGCCCTCTGCTGGTCTTTATTTAAACTACTTCTAAGTTTTTTGCCTTTATCAGGAGTTTGACTTTCCAAAAACATTCAAATAAAATAACATCTCTTATCTAACACTTTTAAACCTCAGAGTTTAGCAACGTTTCCAACCCCGACTCACCTGTTGACCAACCGACGGCTGTGTGTGTGTGTCGGGGTGTGTGTGTGTGTGTGTGTGTTAGCGCAGCCACCAGGTCAGTCTGAGTAATTAGTCTTTGAGCTTAGCAGAGAGCCAATTCACAGTTTCTACACCGGCCGACACTCCTGAGACTCTCACACACACACCAACACACACACACACTCAGAGAGAGACGCAGCAGTAGCAGGTTAGATTAATGTGTGTTGTGTTTGCCGTCCCGGAGGAAAGCAGCTCACTTAATAAAGAAAAATAATTCGTCTCTCCACAACCCCCAATACACACACACACACACACACACACACACACACACACACACACACACACACACACAGACTGTAAACATGCTGGTTTGGTATTAGTGAAACTCTCTTGCTAATATTTTGGATCAAGATGTTGATCCAAAATAAAAATATTTTATTAATAACTTCTTTATCTCCTTTTTCCATTCAGTCAAAGGGAAGCAAATGCTGATAATAAAGAACAAACCTCAATTCAACATACCTGCTCTTGAAGGACTAAATCCCTCAAGCACCAATTTATTTTTGATAATATGGTTTACATGTTCTGTAACGTACTTATAAATATCTTCTCATCTAGTGTCTGTTTTATTTTATTCCTGTTTGTTTTTTGTTTGAAATAAAATTATCAGGGAAAAAAAAGAGCCAACGTGAAGAGAGGAAATGGAAACGTTGCGTAAACAGCTTTCACCACCTTCAAAATAAGAGCATGAATGTAAACATCCAACTATTTGAGGAATCCTTAAAGAGGCAGTATCATGTAAAAGCAACTTTTTAAAACTTTCTATCAAGTTATAATGTTTTTTCCTGGAATGTTGATTCTTTCATGCAGAAATCCTTTAATCGCCATGGCAACCATTCAGCTGCAAAACGCCCGGGTGGCCTTAGCCCCGCCTTCGAGGCTCAGCTCCTCCTCAGAGCTACAGTTTCCAGGCTCCTGCCTGACAGAGCAGCTCTCAGCCAAGACTCCCCCACTCAGCTCCTTCAGACTAGCCAGCAGCAATTAGCAAGCAGCTGGTGGATCTGCTGAGCTCATTACAGGAGCTGCTGCTCAGCGCAACGCTGGTAAAAACGTTGTTAAAGGGTTAATGGAGGAGCCATGTTGGGATGACTTCCTGAAGGCGGAGCTTCACAAAGAGCAGGAGTTTCTTAAAGAGACAGAGGCCCAATTTCTAGGTGTTAAATTAGGAAGTCATATTTCTTTTAAGTCATGTTTGATTTAACATTTTATAACAATAGAGTTTAAGTGTGAATATAAATACACAATACACACGTTTTCTTTGCATTTCAGCTTTTCCTTCTCAATGATTAGAGGAACTTTATATGCTGCTTTTCTTCTTTATCCCTTTTAGTTATTTAGTTCATCCAAAGTAAAAAGCTTATTTTTTACTCATGTTCTTTATTTATACCCGATCTCTTTATTACATATTGAGTTAATTTTATTTTTTCTCTCCATATTAACTTCTGTTTATTGCCATGACTATATTTCTCTCTACTATAACATTTTTGAAATGTAATCAAAACTTTTTCATGGTTGAACTGAAAGAGAAACATTCAGTTCATCTGAAAGTAAAACAAAGTATAAAAGAAAAAAAAAACAAAAGGTTAGAAAAAGGAGAAAACCAAGACTTTTTCATTTCAGAGTAACAGGAAGGATCTGAGCTCAACATGGAGGCAAACTGAGGCGGAGAGGAGGGACGAACACACGCAGAGGGGAGCAAGTAAAGGAAAAGAGGAGACAAAAATGAACACCAACAGATAAAGTGGAGGGAATAAAACACACACACACACACACACACACACATCGGGCCCAAACCGAGGGAAACAGTGATGGATTTCAGTTATTAGCCAATCAGAAAGATGGATGGCGCCGCGCTCCGTCCAATCAACGTCATCATCTAGATCCAGTTAGCAGATAGCGCCTCGCTGCTAATCAACTTATTAAAGTTCCTGATAATATCGCCGCAGAATAATCTCCCTCTCACATAAACACACACACAGCGCGGCGGAGGAGTGGCGAGTCGATAAAATCACTTGAGGCCGAGCTCGGAGGAAAGTAATGACGCTAGAGGTCATTAATATTATTTAACACCTAAAGGCACAAACGCTAATGAAGAAGAAAAACTGGCCCCCCGCCTACTTCCTGCCGCCTCCTCCTCCACTTAGAGGAAGAAACGCTGCACACATTTCAGATTCATCGCCGTTTAAACGTTTCTACACAGCTGGAGTTTAATTCAGCAGGAAGATCCGACGGAACGTCACAGAAATCACAAAACGCGATTTACAGGAAACGCACAACATTCAGCAGTCACAATGAAATCAAGATAAAACACACACACACACACACACACACACACACACACACACACACACACACACACACACACACACACACACACACACACACACACACACACACACACACACACACACACACACACACACTTTTAGATAATTAACCAAAGTTTTCTATATTTCTATGCAGTATCAGGTGTTTTCCAGACACAAACTGCCATTTTATAGCACAATCAAGTAATCAAGAATGACTTAGAAGAAATCTGACTTCCCGGTTTAACGCCTATAAATTAGGCCTCTGTCTTTTTAAAATCTCCTGCTCTTCCTGAAGCTGCGCCTTCAGGAAGTCATCCCAACATGGCTCCTCTATTAACCCTTTAACGTCTTTACAGCTTTTCACTGAGACGTAGCTCCTACAATGAGCTCAGCAGGTGTTTGCTAATCACTTAAGGCTAGTCTGAAGGAGCAGAGTGGGGGAGCATTGAGGGTGTCCGAAGGGTGTCTTGAGGGCGGAGCTAGGTCCACCCAGGTGTTTTGCACAGCTGAATGGTTGTCATGGAGACTAAAGGACTTCTCAAACATGCATAAAGTATCAAGGTGATTTCAGGTGTGTTTTTGATGAATAACATGAAGGAAAACTCAAAAAGGTTTCTGTTAATTTGTAAAGAAAATGAAAGTCTGAGGCGTCAGAGGAATGTCCTGAGGATCAGGAAAGAAAAAACGAGCTGCACAGCTTTAGCATGATTGGATTGAGCTTTGATTGATGCAGAAACTCAGCAGGAATCGAACCAAAGACTCCGCAGAGCCTGGATCACCTGCAGCAGTCTGAAGATGGAGAGGCGATGAAGGATCCCTCCTCATCGTCAACAAGGTTTAATCTGAACAAACGAGCAGCAGCGCAGCAGCAAACGGGAAAAGGAAGAAAACTGCTTTTCTGCTCATTATATAAACTCCTAGCGGAGCATCAATCCCGGTTAAAGACGTTTCCTCTGCTGGACATCCGGGCTGCAGGATGGACAGGATTTTTATTCAGCTCAGGGTTTTTCACAGAACTTTGACTCCAAACTCTTTACATTTACAGACCATACGGCCTCCTGGGTTGAACACCTTAAAGAGCTCTAAAAGCTGCGGCTAACGGCTAATTCTCATGTTGTTTATGCACTGAAGACGTGATAAAACCCATAAAAGTGGCAGGAACATCATCTTTTGTCTCAGCTCTGGGTTTTGTGGTTTGTGGGTTTTTTTCATCCTTTTGAGTTGAGGTTCCCAAACTTTTCCATTAACGACACAATTTAACAAACTTTTCTATTTCAAGCTGCTACTAAACTAAGGAGCAAAGCAGTTTGGACAATGTGACCATGGCTAAAAACATTACAATAAGTAATTTTAGCTTATGTTTAACAAAGGGTTAAAAACAAATTAGATTAAAAAAAGAGATTTAAAATGTATGATTTAAAAATTGTTTTTATGTTTTTCTCCAGCTTTCTCAGTAACTTCCCAGTTTGAAAAAGAAAACTGCTCTATTTACCATGCAGTCACTTACCTTCATATCTCCTTGTCTTCTTAGAAACCTTTAAAGTTTCTCCTCTCAGGAATTTTCTCTTGAAGCTCCGACAGAGTAAAGAAACCAACCTGGAATACAAAGATCAGCAAGTCGAATAACGGCTAAAAACGCTGAAGAAACTGAAAAACTTTCTGGTTTTTTGTACCTTGAAATGATAAACTGCAGCATAGAGTCCTTTCCAGTTGTTACGATACTAAAATTTCAAACTCCACACCGACGCTGGAAAAACATTCGATCCCAGGTTTTATGTCAAGACCAGGTTTATTTCTAAAAACAAAGAAGAAAGAACAAATAGAGGAGAATTCAGCCTCATGTAGAGAAAATATTAATTTAAAAATGTCACTTCTGTTTGGTAAAACAGCAACCAGATGACACTTAGCATAGGAGCTAATAACATTTATTTGATTTCATTATAACTGCTTATCTTTAATAAACTCCATTTGATGGAAATATTTTTAATCCAACGTTTAAACTGTGAACAACATATTGGTGCCAAATCATCACAAAATGAACAAGCAAATGAGGAAGACAAGTCGTTTGGCTTTCAGCAGTTCGCCCCCAGCAGGATGACGCTCTGAGCAGAGAGCCATTTTACCTCCATCTAAAAAACCCACCACAGATGGCAGGAAATGATGCAGGCAAAAAGGATTCATGAAAACTGAGTCTTTGATTCAGCGACACTTCAGAGGCAGCCATTTTGGATTTTAAAGTCGGAGATTTAAAATCTTCCAGTCAGAATTCTGGATCATTTTCCAAACTCGGACCTCAAACTATGACTTCCTGTTATAGTCCAGGCTTTCGTTATTGTTTTAGCTACCAAGTAACCATGACGACATGTGGACACAGACATTTTGTGTCTCAGCATGCAGCCCGTCCTGAGAGACGGCTGCTGTTTGATCGGGTCAGCGTGGAGGATTAGAAAGGTTAGGAATGACAGAGGCGTCGCCGCCCAGCAGGCTGACACTGACAGACGTCACCCTGGGAAAATGACTGTCACACCGCCGTCACACAAACGTGTGTGTGTGTGTGATGTAGGGGGGTCAGGGTCCCGGTGTGACCCGGATCGATAACAGGGCTGACAGATGGCAAACCTGAGCCCGACTCCACCAGAGAATTTCTGGCACGTCCGTGTCTGACTGACAGCGAACGCACCATGAAGCTCCGCCCCGTACCTGCCTGAAGGCGGTCAGCGGCGACGCCAACCACTGTCAGGTCATTTGGCTGAACTTCTGTTTTTATTTTATTAGTTTAACAGGAAAAATTCACACAAACTTGGAACAGAAGAAATCTGAAACCAAGAGTTTATAGCTGCAGCTAATTCACAACTCCAGCATTTCTCTGCATTAAAACACCATTTATAAATCAAAATACAGTAAAAATACATATTCCTCCATATTAATGTAATCAACCTTGAAAACTGTAAATTTATGTAACATACATTAAGATATGTACAATTTATAAGATTAAATAAAGACAAAACCCTGCAACCTCCAAATCTTTAAATATTCTCACACATTCAGCTAAGATATTAAAAACTATAAATAAGTTTTGTCTGTGTGATTTTTTTTCATTAACTACTAATTATGTTGCCAAGCGTTGATCAGCCATCCTTCCGGTTTGAATGAAAGTTTCGTTTTGTGATATTTTAAGTCTGGAGATGAATTCCAGCAGAGGCGGCTGAGCTGAGGAGCTGGACGCCGGACCGAGACGCAGCGTGGAGCGGCGTAACGCAGCGTGACGCAGCGTGGAGCGGCGTAACGCAGCGTGACGCAGCGTGACACAGCGCGGGGCAGCGTGACGCAGCGTGACGCGGCTTCAGGCTGACGTGTGAGGCTCATTATCAGTATCGTCTCTGTGAGGAACGACGGACAAAACGGCAACAGCACCGACAGAAACTCCATCCTGGCTGGGGACTAAAACGCTCCGTCAGCTGCTCCGTCTGTTAATGTCCTAAATGAAGTTTTGTTGTGTGTTTTCTGACAGCAGTGAACTGATTTATGTCATCAGGTTCAGGTGAACAGTTGTGTGTAATTCATATACAGCCCATCGCTCCACATTTAAAGGAAACTTTTCTGAAATTTTGGTGATTTGTAACCTGGTACTTTCATCAGCCTTACAGAGAGGAACTTCACTGGATGTTACCAGTTACTTACCTGCAACTTGCAGGAATATTTTAGGGTCTGAGTTGTGACCAGCAGCCTCACTTTAAAGGTTCGGTGAAATATCTTGAATTACTGAAACCTTGTAGGACCAAATTAGACCCGGTTAGGAGTCTGATGGATCACTGGGCTGTAGGTGTATTAAACCGTACTGTCACCAGCCTATCTCACACACACACACACACACACACACACACACACACACACATTGAACCCAGAGAAAAGGTGCAAACTCAAAACGCCTGCAGCTCAAATCACACATGTGGTTATTTAGGCGTGAAGATTTGTTGGAGAAGTCATAATGTTCCTCAATAATCATTTGTAAAATTGTCTCTGGATAAAAAACTGAACCCAGCTGGTGCCTGAGTGCAGGTGTGAATGTTTGCTGCTGTTCGTTTTAAGACCGATGGCCTGCGGATGCTCACTCCGTGTTCACTGCGGGTCACACATGAGGCTCTCCAGCTGATAAAATCACCTTCTGATTAAAACAATACAAAATAAAACAATCAGAAGAAGCAAAGTCAAAGTAAAATGAAGAAAAACAAGATGCAACACTGAGCTGCTGGGTCTACAGATGAAATGTTTGCTTTGTGGAGAATCTGGAGCTGGAAGTCTCCCAGCGGCTCCAGACCGGCCTAATGATGATCCCCGACACACTCCACTGAGAGGTCAGAGGTCAGGGGTCAACATCAGAGGCAGGGAAAGAAGAATGTGGGAGGATTCCTCCTCCCTATCCAGGAGGCTGCTGGATTTTATTTGTTCTTCAAAACTGTAAAAAAAACAACAAAAAGCCTTCATGGACTTCAGAAGAATCCTGATCTGCTGAAAGTCCGACCTGAGCAGACGAGACGCTCGGTGATTTAGGAGGAGCGATGATGCAGATGTGCAGCTGAAGAGCGACAGACTGACCTCTCCTCCTCCTTTGATGAACACAGAAAAACAGATTCTGACAGAGACGGTTTTACCGATCCTGACAGCCGTCCAGAGTCCGTCTGCCTCGTCACCATGGCGACGCAGCCTGGGGGCGGCGACAGCCTCGTTTCAGCTTGACCCATTAGCTGAAAGTCGCCAGAGTGATTACAGTTAATCCTGAGATTAATGACTGTAAAACAGGAATGTAAAGGACTAAAGGCTCCCACATACCCGGCCGTTCTCCGCGAACCGAGACGACTGTTGAGATTTCATGGTTGAATGAAACGATTTGACATTTTTCATGACAAATTCCTTCATTTCCCACAAATGACATCAACAGAGAAGAAGGTGAAGGAAAGTGCTCCCATCCCTTTTTTGATAAGTTTCTATAGTTTACAATCTCTTCCATTAGATGTTGTTCAAAATTTGACTGTATTTCGTCCACAAGGTGGAGCCGACTCAACAGATAAAAAAAAAACTCCAAAATGTAACAATGTCACAAATCAGTAGGCATTGCCTGTTACCTAGCAACCCCAGCAAAGCCCAACCTGTTACCTAGCAACCCAAACTGTGCTCCAGTTTGTTTGGCTACCTAGTTTTACCGCACAATGGCTGCTGGAAAAGACAAGCAATTGGTGGTTGTCTTACCATCCAGAAACCACTTGCTGCATTCTTGTCGGTTGTGCAGGAGGCTCCACTTCTGCTTTTCAAAGATTTATGGCTGTATAATTTTATAATAGATCAAAATAGGCAGAACTCAACTAAAATCTGATTAAACAGTTTTACAGGAACGCTGCTTGGGAAGCTGGAATACCAACAGGAGCAAATGGATTTGTCAAGCAGCCGATCTGGAAGCACCTTTTGTTTTTGTTGGTTCATGTTAGCTTCCAGCACAAAAACTGTTTCAATGTGTGTATGAATGCATATTAGATATATTTGGTGTTGAAACTACTTAAAATGGGCAGTTAAAAGTGAATACTGTGGTTCACTGCATAGCTTTAGATAATTAGTTCCATAAATTCACCAAATGTAATTTTCTAATCTTAAATGTTTTTATTGACTGTAATCAAAAATATCATCACTAGTAACATTCTAATCGATGAAATGTGTCTTACTTTGTGAGCTACTGAAATAAACTTTAATAATATCTTAATGTATTAAATATGACTACATTTGAGATGAACTATCTTGTCACATTTCAGTAAAACCTGCAGAAATCCCATCAGTTTGTGTAAAAAGCCGTCATGTCTTCTGGCTGTAGATTCTACAGGAGTTTGAAGAAACTGGGAAATGGAGCAGAAATTTCGACGCTACAATTAGTTTTAGCTTCAGACAGGCCACACTTTTTTATCTAGGTCTCTCTCTGTCAGCCACGTCGGCTCGCTTCCTGCACATCTGTGGCCTCAAAGCTACAAATGATGTGATTATGATATATCATGTAACAGAGAAAGTCTCTTTGTTTCTGCAGATAAAAAAAAAGGTAAAATCAATACCAGGGAGGTGTGAAGCCTTAAGGGGCCACGGCGTCTTGCTTGGACTGACCAGGTAGGGGTTAGGCCCAGCCGGAGGTTCGGCCCGCTCAGAAATGCTGATTCCACATTTAGGCTGACAGTGATGCATGCTCCAGCCTCTGCTTCCGGTTATCCTGGTACCTGAGGGCTCGGCCGAGGAAGATCAGCTGCAGAGCAGGACGGGGTTACGGATGGACGGGGGAGCAGCAGCGAAACGGGGCGGCAGAGAGACTTATTTATAGAGCCAACAAAGACTGGAGGGAAGAGAGGCGAGGAAGCAGAGGGAGGATGTTTTATAGGAATAGTGATGAGGAGGTAGAAGAAAAAACAAGAGTTCAACAGTTTAATTTGTTTGTTAGGTTAGGCATGAGGTTAGTGAACCTTAAAGTGTAAAAGCATTAATTCAACTTATCCAAACATTTTTACTTCCAGTTTTTGCTTTCTCTCCGCTCTGAGTCAAACCAACCAAACCATTTGAGCAACTTGTTCCCCTCCTCACCTGTGGGGGCGCTGCACCAAGAAACACTGAAGGAAACGACACATAAACCTCTGAAGGAGACACAGAGAGCAACTTCCTTCTTCACAAAACGTAAACTAAACTGGAGTGGCATCTCTTCTCTTCTGTTTTTGATGCAGGACCTGCGCCTTTGTTTTGGTTGTATTTACCCAGAATGCCCTGCGTTGT